ATGCAAAACCGCAGTGAAATCATGGTTCGGTGCCAGAAGAAATCTTCAACCGTAGCAACCAAATTACACAACGGTGGCGCGGCTGGTGATCCCATAGCGACTCCTCGTTCTTGGCGGAACAAGTATCCGTTGATCTCGAAGTGACTGTTGTCAATGACAAAGTCCAGAAGGTGCCGGAGATCTTGTTCACGAAAAATTCGAGGGATCTTGGTTTGACGGCGCCACTTTCCTTTGAACATACGGCGTCGATGATCTGACTTGACTTCGTACACGGACCATTGCGAGGAACCGCGAAGGCCAACAACTTGATCATAGCGATGGAGAAGCACTTGAAGCGCCTGATGGAAACGTTCCGTAGGAATGGACGTGAAGAAGCCTGACAAGTCTTGCGACACCAGGTGGATGTACTCATCAGGATCTGCTTTTGACAGTGCTTCCCACAGCTGCTGGATAAGTTCTTGTACTGAGAGTTGACCTGCAATGTCGGGGAAGGCTGCCTTGGTGAGTTCAAATATAAGTGCACCGAAGACCGTGAGGAAGGGAGCTGCCCATGTGCGAAAGAATGAGATGATGGGTCGAGCTTTCTGCCAGTCCTTGGTCGGCTTTGGGAGGATGCGCGCTGTGGGCAACGGTGCTTGAAGTCGAAGGCCCCATGCATATCGTTGACGTAGGAGAGAAGGTACTGTGTTTACCACTTCAGAGCGAAAGGATGCTGCAGATTCGCGGCAAAGTGAGAAGACATCCCCCGCGCAGAATGTCTTCCGCATCAATATGGCAAACAGGGACGGGCACATCACATGTGCGCGGGAGGGGAAATGATCCGCTGGGATAACTACCCACGAAGACAAAGAAGCCACAGTGCGTTGCAACGATGTCGATGACCAATAAGCCCGATCTTGAAGGTTAATCCGATGAGTATCCATTAGCTGAGTCACAACTGGCTGTAGATCTGAAAGTAGACCGGAACCATGTACATGCCAGCGGCGAGCAAGTTTGCGAAGTTGTGTGGTGAAACGTTGATGCAATAAGTCGACATCACCGAAAAACTGATCCTTCATTGAGGCGGTCATGATTTCAATGTTAATGTCCGCATTGATGCGAGAAAACTCATCCACCATTACTGCGTGACCATGTGCACGGTGTAGATGGCTATCATCGATGTCCAAACAGCGACACGGAAAGGATGTGTCAGGCGCCCATTTGCGCTGCCATGTGCGATAGTTGTATATCTTGTCGCCCAATGTGGCGCTGCGAGTTTCCACAACCCGGATCTTTGGAATGAAAAGAGAAGGGAACAGATCCCGATGAGAAGCAATCCAGCTTTGTAACCATGTGCCCAGTAGAGCTTTCCAATTCTGGACATGCAGCGGCGGCAAAAGTAGCTGTGTTAAAGTGGTGGGTGGTTGTAGCCGTCGTTTGCGCAGTACCTGGGCGAGGAGCTTCTGGGCCTTGGAGCGGAAGGGCTCGTTGACAAATACTGCGAGCCGCAATAAGTAGTACAGCTGAGTGGGAGGGAAAGCGGCTGACAGTAGGTCACGCATGACTTGGAACGACGCTCCTGTATTCGATCCCAGCTGATAGAGGATCGAGTAGTGGGCTTGAATGTCATCCAGGGTGTCAGGTCGTAGTTGCCGTTGGAGATCCGGATGTAGTCGTCGTCGAAAGCGCTTGTGCAAGCCGAGGGAAGTGGGCGACGACAACGAGTGGCGTCGAAAATCTACAAGATGTTCCCGGAAGCCCACCTTGCGCAAGATTCTGTGTACCCAGGGCGCATTCAAATGCGGGCGTAGCAGGTATTGCCATTTGCTTTCTTGAACCCACACCGAGGAAACTGGAAGTTTGATTTCCACTGGTACAGCACAGAAGAGCCAGTAAGTATTGGATCGCTTCCAGTAGTGAAGCGCCGGTTCAAAGAAGGCATGCCGTCCACGAAGTAGTTGTAGAAATTTGCGACTGCGTGAGTGTTCACGACGTAGAACATCCTGATCAGTCGCCCCAACATAGTATGGTGTGTGCCATGGGGAAAGTCGAATGTAGACGCACGGTTGTTGGTGATGACCTGGATCATGTATGAAGTCGTAGAGGTCAGGAAATCGCGCCCGCAATGAGCGTAGATGTCGCGTGTCAGCGAAAGTTGAGTGCATGATTTCACACAAGAGAGAAGTCTTGTAGAAGTGAAGGACTTCGAAGAACGGCGGGATGTAGCCGTGATCCTGTGAAATGAGACGTTGTAAGAAACTGATCAATAAATAGGCAGCGCACCGACATCTGTGAAGTTCGTACCTGTTGGCCACGGTGTGCTGAGAGTTCGACATAGCGCAATTCGGAATCTGGAGGGCTATCCGGACCACAACTAAGACCTCGAGGATGAGACCCAGCCACGGCAATTGTGTGATGGATTCGTACTCCTCAATTGGAATCGACGGTGGTGGTAGTCCAGGGAAACAATAATGCCAGCACGTCGAGAATGTAGTCAACGAGTGCAGAAGGTCGTCCAGCGACTGCCATTGTGCAACATCATCATAGATTCCGCAGTGGCGAAGTTCATCCAACATGGTGAGATGCAACCAACGAAATCTACCACAAGGCGGCGACATGGATACAAGCATCACAGACAATCACACAAGAGGCAATGCAAGAACAAGCAAGTACAAGATCAATCATGTGCAACGCAAACACTTGACGGACGAGTTTTCACCTGGACTCATCCGTGACATTGTTGCCGCTCCGGGCTCATATGAGAACGAAGGTCGATATGATGCCTTCTCATCCACAAAGCAGGCGAGCGGTCACGATGAGGTGACTCAATGCCTTCTCGGTGAGTTTGGTAAGGTACCCGGGTTCAAGACCCCATAGTGCTGCCATTGCACCGAGTGTGGGCGCATCGCCCTTCGGCATGCGCTGCCTGGCCTGAAGAAGCTGCGTCGCCATAGAATCTAACGACTTGTTGCCGTTGAGCCGGGACGGGTGATTGGCCCACTTAACCAGCGACGCCAAAGTGGTTGTTGTGGGTGCTTGCTTGAGGAAAAGGCGAGGTTGGTCACTGGTCCATGTGTAGTACTTGACAACTTCATCCGGCGTGCTGTGCATGGTGAGCAACTGTGACGCCGCCGGTTTGGACGGCGGTGACGACACTCCGTGAAGAGACTGCATGATCCGAGGTTGCACCACGCTATCAAACGACTTGCCATCCAGGGCGGCCGCGCTGGCTGTGGGCAGGGAGCTGGCAGGTGACGAGGATGGTGTGTGGTTGACCGGTGGCGGTGTAACCAACTCTGCATCATCTTTCTGGTTTGTCATCGTGGGCGAGGTCGATGCGCGAAGTGATGCGGAATACTGAGCCTGGAGAAGTTCATGTGCACGATTCAAGTCATTGAACTTCTTGACCATGTCATCGGTCTGGGCAGCAGGTGCGAGAGAGGTGTGATGTTGTTGAAGAAATTGAAGTACCAGGTTGGCCAAATGGTCATGGACTTTGATGCGCTGATTGAAGTCATCAATGTTGAGACCCAGCGTGTTGGCAAGGTCCTTTTCCAGGGTGAGCAGGTTGAGTGACTGCGATCTTCGTAGTAATTTGGAGCAGGTACTCCAAAGTAAGGCTTCAGTGCGGGCGCGAAAGCCTTCCCACGTCAAAACGGCCTGAGCAGCCAGTTGGTGAGGCCCCCGTGGATAACCTGAACCAGGCGTACGTCTCTAATATCCATGCCTGACATGTCGCGAAGGTTGCCATGTGGAGTGTTGGCAACAGTCATGGGCAGGCTGAAGTTGTAGAGTTGATTGACATCAAACATGCCGTCTGCAGGTGTCCAGTCAGGCGAGGGAGTAAGCCAGGCTTTCTGAGGACGAACCGGTAGAGCTGCAGGAGGTCCAGGTGAAGGGGTAGGTTGGGAAGTAGTGACCGGTGGTGGCATCATTGGTGGCATGAACTTGGATGGTGTGGGATCAGGAGGGATCGGCATCATGTAGTTGATCGCCGGGTATTGGAATTGCTGTGTGGGGTTGTGAGTCGATTGAAAATTGGTAGGCACCATCGGAAAGTTGTTAGCAGCATTGTAGCCGGAGTTGTGTTGCCATGAAACCAAGTTGTTCCAATCCATGTTCTCCGAGACCTGGTTGTCATTGTGGTCACGTCGGCGTGCTTTGTGAGCTTGAGGGGACGGACTCCGATCACGTCTGCGTCGAGTCCTGGATCTATCACGATCATCACGTCGAGACATGGTGACGCAACTAGATCGGAATTTGCACACTTCCACCTTGAGAGAATCAGACCCGACAATATTCAAATCCATGCAAATGCAAGTCAGCGGCCCTCAACTGCAATGGTCGAGCGAAATGTACAAGGCAAAGCAAATACAAGTCAGCAATCGACAACCGCAATGATACGAGCAACAAGTTCAACCAATGGTCAGGGTAGGCAATGAAAATCGGCAGCTATCAACTGTGGTGAGACGTCACTATGAACTGACGGCTTTCTTCCCTTTAGTGAAACCTCGTTCCTGATTAAATGTGAAATTCCGCTGTTCTATGATACGCACGTTGAGGTCAAATTTTCCGACAGAGCCGGCCCGGGGTCACACAATGGGTACACCCGAGGATTCCCCACGAATGGGGTGTACACACTTGAACTCCAGATGGAGAGTGCTAATCTTTCGAGTACAACTGATGAGTCTCGAGTACAACCGACAAGTCTCGAGTATGATGAGTTTCGGCTCGCAATGTATTCGGCTTCCCTCTAGTGTCGAAAACGTTACCAGAAAGAACAAGAAGCACAAACAGCGCCGCAACCAAGGGGCCAAAAGGACTTTCAGAATCACTGAAGCAGGTACAGGTGTCCACGTCTGGACACCCTTCCCACCTTTGGCAACAGCTTCATTGCGTGCAGTATGCCAAAGGTGCTGCACGCCCCTGCTGCGAAACCGAAAGGGGGGTGACAGGGCATTCTGTCACTCCGCACACACACACACACACACACAGCGAGAGACCCCTCCGCGTGTGCGCGCGGGCCCCCCGGCTCTGGCGTGAGGCCCACATTTGCGGCTAGCTCAATCTTCTTTGGCAGGTCCGGCAGGATATTCCTTAAAGACGCCGCCAAGCCACATCAAGGCAAAATTAGGCACCCCCAGCCCTGTTAACCATCCCCTCTAAGGAAATGCAAGGCTCCTCGGATGCTCGACCAAACAAGCGCCAAAAGGCAAACTCGTCCACTCAGCTCTGTCAAGCGCCTCAAGCCTGCAAGGAGGGCACAAAAAGCAAGGTATGGACGTCGGACTTGCCAAGCTTACCGGAAACCCCACGGAGCTGAAGGGAGGAGCCTTGGTTGGCTTGTCAGAGGCAGTTCCGGTGTTGCTCCTGACCCTTGCAAAACAAGGTGCAACCGGAAATTGCGATGGAAACCCTTTGAGAAGCGAAAGCCCAGTCCCAAGTTTCAAGCCAAGAGACAATAACGTGAATCCAGTGTGGTGTGTACCAAATAAGGCAAGACTTCGATGCGTTTCTTGCCCAGGGCTCTCATCCGTTTTCAGGCGGCGCATTTGGAAGGGCCGCGTCAGGCGGTACAGCAAGTCCAGGCTCTCCTTGCGCTGCTCTGGGTCCCGGCCTTTCGCGCGTCCCAAGCAGGGGGCAAGGGCCGCAAGGGTTGGTTGCTGCGTGTCATACCATCAACAGCACAGGCTCGGAACAATATGACCCCAAACCTGCCACGGCAAAGGGCGGATGGAGGGCGCATCTGGGTTTTCCCAAAGTTGCAGCGATTTGTTATCTACGCCCATATTCGGAGGTATCGATCATGAGTGCTTTGATCAGCCACGATGATCGTCTTTAGTCAGGAAATCACTGGCTTTTGCAAGACCCAATCAATGGTCAAGATCTACACTGGCCTTTTACCCTCACTCGTGATGCGATGGGAGCCTCATCCACTCTGGTTTTTGAGCAGGACAGTATGACGTTGCAAAATTCAACATCATGAAACATGATCCAGCTTCAGGCAGGCAAATTAAAGACTACTAGATTAATTGCTCTCAAATGTCAGCTTTTGAAGGATGATCCACTGCTGGCAAAAATGCTGAATTGGGGGGGTCGGCCTTTGGTGAGAACCCGAACAAAGAAAGAAAACGCCAGGGTGCCACATGGTGTCACTGAAGGAGCAGGTGGGAGTTTGACCTTGCTGGGGTGGTTTTTGGGATTTGCCTTGCTGCCCTGGCTGGCAACGCAATCTCTTGCCTAAATGCGGCAACAACGGATGCCCAGGAAGCGCCTTTCTCGATGATGCGGGAGAAAGTGCGGGAGAAGGACACCTGTCCGAGGAAGGGATCCGTTTGTCCTGAAAGATGGCAACCTGCAGCCCAACAGGAATCATTCCATGCCGGCTGGGCAACTCAGGGGGTGCTTTGATCGGTACGGTTATCGTGAAGATATCTTGTATCCGGGCAATTTGTTCGAAAATCGCGTAAGGCAACTGCGCCACACCTGGTCCCCGAGGTACCCGAAGTTTGCGAAGTCGAAGATGCTGTGCAGCTCATCCACCTGTCTTGAAATTCCACCCTTGTTCCACTAGTGCATCAGGTGTTTTATGTGCGCATTCGAACCACTGAAAATCATGCGCCTTGTTCTCGATTGGCGTGCCAGACAAGGCGATGCGGGTGTGGCCAATGATGTTGCCCACTTCCTTCACCGCCTTGGTCACGAGGATGTTGTGGTTCTTAATCCTCTGCGCCTTGCTTGGAGCTCGAGTAAGAAAGGCGAAACCAGGCTATGTGTCTTCATTCCAAATCTCATGAACTAAACCGTGTGTCTTCTGAATGCGTGTCAAAGCCACAGGGACAATTGAAACCCAGAACGAAACAACCCACTTACGTTTGATGGTTCCCTTTCGTGAATTCTGCTTCATGCCCGTTGATGGAATGAGCGGGCTCAGTAGCCGCTGGGCTTGCGGATGTGAGCTGTGGTCAAATGCTTCAGCAACCCATCAGGTAACCAAATTTCACGCTGGCAATCTGGAGGAAACACGTGTTCAAGTTCACCGCCAATGCCAGTTAGTCGGCCCAAGGCGCGAGTCCCATGAAGAGTACCATGTCTATACTATACGATGACTAACACTCGCGTTATCCTAGGTATATCATGCGTGAGAGCGACAGCTTCACACAACACAGCTGCTTCAAAAGTTTTAGGGCATCCGCCATCAAGACCGACTATTCTAGTTGTGTCTGCAATAATTCTCAGAATATGGCTGAACCAAAGAAAAGTGTGTTGTGCTAACACAGCTCATCGAAAAAGCGTTCTATATCAGTATACAGTGTTGAATGTGTTATTCACAGCTACTGAGTTTGATGTAGGCGGCATTGTTTAGTGAGTAGCGATGCATCGTTGAAAAAGTGGGTGTCCGGTTTGTATTCTAACAAAACCAAGATGGCAGGCACTATGCCCCAAAATCCCAATTGGCTGTAGTGGGGCCTCTTGGTCTGCCATTGTTTAATGTGGTTGGCCCTGACTGAACATGCAAAAATCCTCGACAAATCCAAACAGTCGCAGCGGGCTGCGTCCAAAGATTCTAGGTGGCTTTGGTGCGGCCACTTTGGGTAGGCAATTTGGGGGCAATTGCTTGGAGGTCTTCATTTTGTGCCAGTTGTTCAAACGCAGGCCCCCCTGCATGTAATAGCACCTGCATGTAATAGCACATTGATTGTAGCCGCAGGATTGGTCTCAAATCTATTCAAACAGAAACTTCATGGGCAACCCGGCCTGGCCTCATCAATGATCATGGCCGAGAAGGAGATGATGTCAACATCGCACAGCTTGCGCCGATCGTTTCTGACCATCTCGTACCTTACAAAAGCAGTGCTGGCGCATCCGCCGGAACGCATCTTCTGGCCTTGCGTTATTCATGAAGTGAAAACCAAAGGTCGCTGCACTGGGGTTGAGTCGATGGAGCAAACTTCACGAAGTCAAACCCTGGCAACATTACGGTACTCATGCTGCTGCGAAGAAAGAAACGTACATGTTTGCCACGTCAGCTTCATGGCATGTGGGCATGCCCAAATATAGGGCCCACTTGTCCTGAAACACACTTTGATGGGACAAGTTCCGACTGGGTTGGGGAATGTAGGTACAAATCTCCAACCTGACAACAGCTCCGAAGCGTCCACTTTTCTGGCCTGGTGGTGGCAAACCCTTCCAGAAAAACCATGGCGCCTTGACAGTCAAGAAGCAAGAGCCCCATGCTGCCAACAATGCTAGTCGGAAGCCAGGCTGCGTGGTCAAGATGATGTCATAGCCAGCAGCGTGGAACGGTGGCAAGGCGCGCTGAGGGCCGTGGTACCTCAGAAAGGACATTCCGCAGACAAAATGCCTATCACACTCTCATGACAACCCCACCGAAAACAACACCAGAGTTGGAACCTCGCCACAACACTTCAAAGGAGACCTTCACCTCTCCAGTTCAGCCCAGGTTGCACAAAGAAGTTGAGCTGCGGCGCCCACTTGGCGAACTCGGCCTGAATTGCTCGTATTCATGCAAAAAAGGAGTGCCCCCGCCCCCCCAACCGACGCTTTCAAAATAAACCCCCTTGCGGGTGTTGGGGCATGGACGCAAGGATGTAACTGTTGAAAGGAGACCAAGGATGAGACCAGCTGAGGATCCCTGATTGCGGCACACTTCCCTTGCTTCGCCAAAAAACTAGACATGGTGAGACAAGGAAACCCGGGTCGCTGGCATACCGTGGGCATGTTCAACAACTCCGGCAATGCAGTGAATACGGTCTGTTGGAGTTGGGACTGTGCTCGTACATTGCATGGGTGTAGCATTCAAGCTGTGACAGGGCTTCTTCCTGTGACACTGTATGTTGAAAAAAATATTGCAATGATTTAAGTTATCGCGTGGGGCAACCACAAAGAAAGAATCTGCACTTCATCCCTTCTTGCGCTGACAGCCAAGCAAAAAGTAGTAACTTGACGTGCTCTGGGACTGCGTCAAAGTCAGAATGAAGGACGCCAATCCAACAGGCAAGGCGTTTCAAGATAATCCCGGCCACTTGTGCTACCATCAGACGTTTGGTGTTCGATGGTTAAATCACGCAGTCCCTTCTACACCTGTGCATGATGCTCAAAAAACGACAAACCAAACCAACCTCCAGAACCATGGTCAATACTCATTGTGCTGGCCAAAGGTTGATCAAGAGTGGATAAAGATGAATATTACCACGGCTCACTTGTGTTATGACCGTGATACGCGCCAGCCCTCCCGCCTGCCAGTTCCGCAAAAGCCCCGGGGGGACCACAACGAGCGCTGGCCGCAGCTGGCCTCGCTCATCCCGCAGCAGGCCTTGCTCCTGACATCACTTCTTGAGTGGATTACAAGTCCAGAAGCCCAAATGTACCGCGGGCTTCTGTCTGGGGAGGAAGCCACTGCCCTTTCTGGCTGGAACAATTCTGTGGGGAGTGGCTGAGTGGCTGAGTGAAGGGGTCACGGTGGCTGAGTGGCCGAGTGGCCGAGTGGCTAAGTGGCTGAGGAGTGGCCGGGTGATCGGGGGTTAGAGTGGCTGAGTGGCCAAGTGGCGAGCGAGGGAGCGGCAAAGTGTCTGGCAAATTCGAGTGATGGAAGGGCTGAGTGACCGAATGGCTTAGGATAGGGCAGGGGAGGGATGTTCTCACATAGTTGACTTCCTCCTGACCCGACCCTGCGCTTGAACAACATTTTTCACCGAGAAGTACTAGTTTGCAGCGGTTAGGATTAGTTCGAAGATTATATACTTAGGCAGTGCCTGTCCATACTGAAGTGGTCATCCGGCTCAGACGAATCCTTCACAAGCATGCCACAGAGAGACAGCCACGACAGCTAAAAAACACATGTATACGTCAGGGTACAAGACGCTTTGGTCTCGGATATCTCTCATGTGACAAGATGGCATGGTGCTTTTCGTAGTTGGTTACTCGTGGCAAGACACTTTCACAAAGGGGTCCCTTCTGTTACTTGGTAATCAGACTTGGTGGTCAAAACTTAATACACGCAGGCCAGCCTAGGCCCCGTAAACAATCTTACAAAACGACTTGTTCACGTAGTAAACAAAATACAGGCATGCAGATGTCTTGACAGCCTAGGTCTGTCAAAAGAGGGCCAATACTGAAGTGCGTTCGTTCGCAAAATCGAAAAGTTGCATGATGGTCTTGAAACCCCAGATTTGAAAAGACTGCAACTATTGAAGTTAATAGCAACTCAGAGTGGCGCCTAGCCACTCTACCCCCCAGCCACTCAGCCACTCAGCCACTCCCAGCCACTCAGCCACTCTGACCTCTAACTCCCAGCCACTGAGCCACTCAGCCACTCAACCACTCAGCCACTCAGGCACTCTACCCACACTCCCACACGCTCTGACCCCCAAAATATGTTCACACCCAATTTTACCCAACAGCTGGAAGCTATGGCCCCCCCCCCAGCCACTCGGCCACTCAGCCACTCTATCCCCCAGCCACTCAGCCACTCCGCCGTTCTCACCATTCAATCATTTTCTTGTGCGTGTGTGGCCTTCTGGCGTTGATTGGGTTGGATTGGATTGGATTGGATTGGATTGGAGGGCGACCTACAGAGAAGTAAACTTCTCTGCGGTCCCACTGTCAGGTCAACGGCACTGCTCCGCAAACGTCATAGCAGGCCTCATCGCCAGCTTCTGGGTGCCCATGCGGACGAGTTGCACGATGGCGAGGAAGAACAAAAACAAACAACAGAAAAGGAAAGGAACCCCTCATCGTCGGCGCCGAGGGCGGAGAAGCATCGGCCCCAGTGCCTGCCCCAGTCATACCGATCGCGTCCAGACCCGCCGGACTGCGACGACACAAAAAGCAAGGTGGCTGACCCCTTCCAAGACACGCAGTCACGCAGACACGTGCCAGAGAAGCGAGGGAGCTGTTCCATTGTGCCAACTTGGAGGTCCAAGCAGTCCACCTCACTGGCAGACGCAACGCTCGACGCATCGCTGCCCTCCAGCAAAGCACCTTCCCCCCACAGGTCCATGAATCCTGAAGGCAGGATAGCGGCTACACACGCAAGAAGACGGAAGCCTGCGGAGTCACACCCACAGAGGCCCGCTGCCGGCTCACACCAGCAGTAAACACCCAAGAGTGCGATCAAGAGAAAGAAGGGAACTCGGGGTCACACCCGGGCCCACAACCCAGCAACACGGCCAAAAGAGGAAGAAAGAGAGGGGAATCAAAGAAAAAAAGAGGAGAGGAAAGAGCTTAGCGGGTTATGCAAAATGAGGGCACACCACTGCAGCAAGAGAACCACTATATATCCTTGAAACAATTTCGGGGAACAGACCGTAGGTGAACAGATCGTAAGGCCCACCAGAAAAAAAACCGACAGAAACCGACAGAAACCGACAGAAACCGACAGAAACCGACAGAAACCGACAGAAACCGATGGAAACCGACAGAAACCGACAAAATCCGACAAAATCGAAATTGAAATTAAATCAATTTTAACCAGCTACGGCACCAGTGATAGAATGAAAATGAATCATTAACAGCCAAAAAATAGTAACCAACAAACAACAACAAGCAGCAAACTAACAACAAACAACACAAACACAACACGAGCAACGACGCAACAGCCAACAATACAATAACAATAACAGTAACGGACAACCAAACTTACACACACACAGACAAAATAGACTTACAAAGACATGGAAAAAGCGACCGTTGAGAACCGCGAGGGACAGAGAACTTTAACGAGAGGCCTAACAACAATTCCTCGAAAGATCTTTGAGTACGCCGCCTTTCTTAGGCATAGGACGGCTAGGCCTAACAACAATTCCTCGAAAGATCTTTGGGTGCGCCGCCTTTCTTAGGCGTAGGACGGATAGGCCTAACAACAATTCCTCGAAAGATCTTTGAGCACGCCGCCTTTCTTAGGCATAGGACGGCTAGGCCTAACAACAATTCCTCGAAAGATCTTTGAGTACGCCGCCTTTCTTAGGCGTAGGACGGATAGGCCGAACAACAATTGATCGAAAGATCTTTGAGTACGCCGCCTTTCTTAGGCATAGGACGGATAGGCCTAACAACAATTCCTCGAAAGATCTTTGAGTACGCCGCCTTTCTTAGGCATAGGACGGATAGGCCCAACAAAAATTCCTCGAAATATCTTTGAGTACGCCGCATTTCTTAGGCATAGGACGGATAGGCTTAACAACAATTCCTCAAAAGATCTTTGAGTACGCCGCCTTTCTTAGGCGTTCCACGGATAGGCCTAACAACAAGTCCTCGAAAGATCTTTGAGTACGCCGCCTTTCTTAGGCATAGGACGGATAGGCCTAACAACACTTCCTCGAAAGATCTTTGAGTAGAGAACGAAGAGAGGGAAAGGGAAAGAGAGGAGCAGCAAAGCAGACACCAACCCACACACACACACACCGGGGGGGGGCCAGAAACAAAAACAAAAGAAAAGAGCCGAAACAAAAACCAGCCAGCGGGCACTGTAGAACCCTCCGAGGCCAGAGAGGAGGTTGCTCATTGGGTTGAAACGCTTAGCACCGCCCCCAGGGCCCGCCGCTCCCCAAAAACGGCCAAGAAAGGAAGAACCTGCTAGGCCCAGGGGGGCTTAGTGAATTTAATGTGTTTTGCCTTTCTGCCACAATAGAATCCGTAAATTCATTAAACATGCTTTGATGAACTTAATGGTGTTAATGGGTGATGCATTAGAAACCATTAAATTCATTAATATGCATTTAATGAGTTTAATGATATTGACGAGTTGAATGGTGTTAGTATTAAAATAGTCCTGGCCCTGGCTCAGGCAAACTCCTAGAATTCACACAGTTCAATGATTTTAACATTGTTGGCATTCCGAAACATTAAAATCATTAAATTCATCAAAACGAATTTAATGAACTAGATGTTGTTTAATGTTTGTTGGCCGTCTGGCACCTTAACTTCATTAAAATCATTAAAATTCAAGGGGTTTGCCTGAGCCAGAACTAATTTATATTCATATCATTGAAATCATGTGAATAGCTTTCAACTCTCCAAAGGCACCCATTCTGTTGGGAATAGTTGGAAAATGAAACACAAAAATTTGGAGATTCCCAACCCCGCTAGACTGGAACATGAATCTGGAATTCTTCAAAAGGGACCCGTTCCGTTGGAAATAATTGAATCATTCGGGTAGTTCCCAACTAGAATAATTAGAATCATTCGGGTAGTTGCCAACTAGAACACATCTGAAGTGGGGAGTAATTAGAGAGAACATGAGTCTGAACTTCCTCAAACTTGGGAATGAAGAATCTTCTGGAGTTCCCCCAGACCACCAGTCCTAATTGGAACAAGCCAAGGCACTCATCCCTTGTGTCATACTTAGTTTACCTATGACAAGAAAACCTGGGATTCCCCAAAAGGGGCCCGCCAATTGAAAAATATGAAAAGTATTTAGAATAATCATAGGAGTAATCATTAAAACAAAAATGAATCTGGAAGTCCCCAAAATAAACCTGTCCCCCCTCGAAATAAGCATTAAAAATAGAATTGTTCTGATAAGTCTTCAATTCTCTAAAGGCGCCCGTCCCTTTGCGAAAGTAATACTAACACTTGGAAGGCTGATGAAACTTCAAATTCTTTAGCAACCGTGAGTCTTGAATTCACCAAAACACATCCGCCTGTTTGGGACCAATTAGAAAAATTAAGACAGACATCTAAAGCTCAGTAAATGGGAGCTGTTCATGTGGGATTTTTTGAACAGTTTGCGCAATGCGGGAAACAGAATCTCGAATTCACTAACAGGCCCCATCACTGTTGACATCATGATTATACTCAGGGCACACACGAGTTTGGAATTCCCCAAAGGCACCCGCCCTCTAGGGATTAACTAGAACGATTGGAATAATTTTGATACGTAGACAAATTAGCAAACATGACTCTTGAATTCCCACAAGGGGATAATAAGAACTAGAGGAGCGACGATAAGTAGAATAACTAGCAAACACGAATCTTGAATTCGTCAAAAGGCACCCCCCCGTTTGGGAATAACTGTAATACTTAGCTTAGTTTGACTACGTGGAACAAACATGAATCTGGAATTCCTTGCAAGGCACCCGTCCTTTTCTAGTCATGATCATCTGAATCTGGGGAAAATATGGAAAACATGAATCTGGATTGGAACTCCCCAAAAGGCACATGTCGCTTTGGGAAGAGAATGGATAGAAAGAACAAAACCATGCATCTGGAATTCCCAAAAAGGCACGCCCCTGTCGGAAAAAAAAATGGAACAATCGAAGCAGCCATGATAAATAAATAGACTACTTTGCAAAACATGAATCGTCAATTATGCTCAGGCACC